TCCACAGACAGACGGCTAGTAATAATTATTATTTTCAATTGTTTATTAATGAAAAATCATTTTAGTTGGACTAATGTACCTTTCTAAAACAATATTAATAAAAGATTCTTGCAGCGCTCTGTGGGAAAGACATATAATTATGCATGCTAGCCAAAAATTGCTTCCGTTATTTTCAGATTATGTTCTAGAGAAAGCTAGCTTCAGAATCAACTAGCATGTAGTTAGTGTTTACTTCTGACAGGCTTCCTCTGGGAAGCCTCCCATGTAATACATTATTTTGGATCTTGGGCCTTAGCAAACCTTCTCAAAGTGCTGATGTTACACGCAGGTAAAAATGGATCTACTGAAATATAATCCCCAAAATAACCAACCTCACTGCCACTGAGTCAATTCCGACTCATAGAGACCCCATCGGACAGAATGAAATCGCCCCTGTGGGTTTCGCAGGCAGGAGTAGAACTCTTCATGGGAGTAGAAAGCCTCATCTTTCTCCCCCACGGCAGCTGGCGATTTCAAACTGCTGACCTTGCATAAAATACAAGGCTACTTTTAAAAATAAGAATTGATTGCAGGTGTGGAATTTGATGCTGCAGGCCAGTTAAGGTATTCTGAATAATACAGCCATCTGTTGCAAAAGAATTAGTTCAAACTCTAGTGTGAAAATTAATGTAACTGACATGTTAAGAGGAATTAAGTACCATTATCACAAAATGACAGGTTATCTAGTAATACAGTTGGTAAGTATGCGACAATACTAGGTGAAGGCCCTGCTGTTTTCTGGCTGTATCTTTGAGCTGCATTGTGGGTGATGGCGCAGCGGCCCCCCTGGCAGCCGTGGGATGCCCTCTTTGCCCACGGAGTCGTTCCTGCAGAACATCTTCAGGTGGCAGGCCTTTGCAGAGGCTTTTCATGGTCCATAGCACTCTTGGTGTGTCCTCCGATACTCAACGTGAGTCCATTTGAATCCAGAGATTTTCTTACAGTTCTCTGCTCTTCTGATGGCTGCTGGGTTTCTACTTACGTCCAGACTTACAGTTCCTTGTACGGAAACAATCTGTGACCCTCTGGGAAAATCTGTGCCAGTCCCTTCATTCAGTTACCCATTTGATTGTACTTTCTGGTTTATTTGCTGCCTGGGGATTAAACAGGCCTCCATCAGCCCTCTACAAAATAGTGGTATGAACTGAGCTTTTCCGAATCTCCACAACGCTGTCATTACATGACTCCAATCCATTGCATTGTACAGTAGCTAATTAATGTTTACAGAAAGCTTAGAAAAATTTTAACAATGAGTAGATACTTGTGGTTATTATTAATGAACTGATCATTTGTGAGGGTTTGGTTTTTGTTTTTTTTTTTGCATGACAGCAGATTGGGAGCATATACTTTAAACATTAATCAGAATCTGGTGAAACCGTTTGACTGCTTTAAATTTATTATTATTTTTATTTTTAAAAAGTTTCATTATGCTGACTTTAAAAACCAATGACCTATCCATGGAAATTGCTGCAACAAAATGGAGCACGTCAGTGATGTGCACTTTTCTAACTTTTCAAAGTAGGTTAAGTATGAGAGTAAGCTTCTGTTCTTCCCAGTTCTTTGAGAATGAGACAAGAACGGGACTCTCCTAGTGCAGGGAAACAAGACTTAGATGATTAAAATGTCATTCCTTTCTTAAATAGAAATGTAGTGAATATATATATTTACACACACACACACACACACACACAGAGGAAGTGAATCCTGGTGACTCAATGGCTAAGTGTTTGGCTCATAAGGCAGAGGTTGGTGGTTCAAACCTATAGTAGTTCCATGGGAGGTATGATTTGCCAATCGGCTCTTGTAAAGCTGATAGCCTGAGAAACCTATGGGAGCAGTTCCACGTTGTCCTATAGGGTCTCTCTCTGTACAGGACTCAACTCAAGGGTACCCAGCAACAAACAACAACATGTGTGTGCATGTGTCGTGTGTGTGTGTGTGTGTGTGTGTGTGTGCAACGATGAATAGTTTACTCTGCTGTACCTCAAGGCACAGGACAGGATGGTGCCTGTACACAGGGTCGCGTGCTTTGGCCTTGACTCAATGGCTGTGAGTTTGGTCTTGGGTTCCCTCGAGGAGAGGAGGGAACGATTTGTGGGCAAAGACACTGGCTGACAGCATAGTGAGACACGGTGGAAACGCCGATGTTGTAAGTCGCCTTGGAGAGAGAGTGTTTGGTGAGGGTGCACAGAAGAGGTCATTTTTAAAGCTGGTCGGACCAGGAAAGGGGGGGAAGGGCAAGAAGAAAGATTGTGCAGGAAACCAGAATGAATATGTATGGTTAGGTGCCAAGTCCTAGCGACCTTTCTGTATACACAGAAGGAACCCTCCAGGCAGGCCCTGTGCCGCCTTCATGATGGCTGAAGAGAGAGACTCAGATGTATGACAGAATCCGGGCATTTGAAGATCAGTGTGAGGTTTGTGGCAGCTACAAATCAGAGTCCGCTCGCAATTCCGGGTTGGAGAGAGGTTCAAAGGTTGTGTGGAAAAGGCCACCTATTTTTATTCCATGTTTCCACAAGCTTTTCTGAAGCCCCTCTGCAGAAGGTAAGCCATATACATACGGTTTTTTCCATAGCCACACACAAAAGTGAAAAGAGACAAGTGAAATGAGCAACAGTATGTTTTATTTAAATTTATCTATCTATAACATGATGTTCTTTTTAATGCTACGCTTTCAAAATCAGGTGGATTTTTTATTTACAACACTCTAAATTTGGACTAGCCACATGTAAAGCATTCACTGTCCAGAAGCTTAGGGTATGTGTTTGTGTGCATGTTTGTGAGAGAGAGACAGGCAGAGAGAGAGCTTGAAAATAAGAACACATGTGTAACTTTAGAAGTGGGGGGAAGAGAGATGTTGAAGTCATATTTTACATTTTTTTCTTTTTAGCCATATTTTGAAAGATCCTGTGTACCTGGCTGAATTTGAAGGCAATCCTTAAAATATACCAGTCTGTGCTGAGCTTCTCAAATGACCAGTGGGAAAGGGCGGGTGTTAAATCTCCAAGCCGTTGCAGACTGCTACCTTTTCAAAATAGAGTAACAGTAAATTGGAAAGCAATGAAAGACACACAAAAAGAATAACCTGACCGTCTATTATTATTGCTAGACTTTAGGGATGGCCAACTATTATGCCAAATGTCTATAAGAGTGTGTGAAGCAGCGCTGTCCAATAGAACACTCTGTGAGCATCGATATGCCCGTGCTGCCCCGAGAGATAGCTTCTGACCACATGTGGCAAGTGAACATTTGAGACGGAAAAAAATGAGATTTAAACTTTTGATTTAAGTTCGATTAATTTACATGTCCGTGGTAGAATGAGGCCATTGGCTATTGTGTTGGGCAGCGCCAGCAGTCTCTCTACAGCCCTCTCAGTCTATATACCAACAGTGTGCGGACTGGTGTTGATCTACACCCCATATTTTGCATGGCTGTTTAAAAACATCGACTCCAGAGCTAGACAGACTTTGTGTGTCTGGCATAGGTCGTACAGGCAGTCCCCGATTTACCATGATCGCGCCATACGTGGTAAGTCAGTTCTGAGATAAATGGAACACTTCATTTCCCCCCCTAATTTTCATCATGATTACCTTGAATTATTGGTCTCACTATACATCTGATGTTTGTTGGGGAGTTGGAAATAAAATATATATTTAGAAAATGGACAATGTTGGCGTTTAGTCAGCTAACAGTGTTAAATCCATCTATGCAAGGGTCCAGATAGTTTGGATTATCCTTGAGATTGGGGGCTGCATTTAGGCAGACAGTTAAGGAGAATTGCTTGTGTGATCTCTTTTTGGACTGCATCTTTAGATGTAGCACATATTAATAACTGTAAGATGGAAAACAAACACCCACTCACACACACGCAAAGCAGATGGTCGTGAGTTTTGTTGTAACTTGAATATGCCCGAACTGAGGACAGGATTACTAAGAAGCTACCTCAGAGGGTTTTTGTGAAGATTAAGTAAGTTAATGAATGCAATATACTTAGGATAAGGTCTCTTGCTGTGCTAAACAACAAGTAACTAATTTCCTATGTTTTCTATCATGGTTATTATTATCATATTTTCATTATGATTATTAGAAGTGATAAAGTTAGATGGTAAAATAATCCAATCATTTTATGGTTAAGTCTCTGCTTTAAAAAAAGTTTCTTCCTTTTAATAACCCCCCACATATAGTAGTCGCTGGCATATAGTAGGCATTCAATAACCACCCTTTTATATTTATTGACAAAATATTCCCAGGGCATAGATGAAGAAATGACTATTTTCAGTGGAAGGATAATGGGGAAACCATTTAGAAAAGAGCCTCTGTGTTGAACAGGCTGTGGGGACGTTGAGAACTGTTTGGAGCTGCTCCACGGACAGCCTGGAGGACTCGATGGTTAAGCACTGAGCTGCTAAGCGGAAGGATGGTGGTTCAAACACAGCAGCTGCTTCGGGGAGAACAATCTGATCATCTACATGTTTAAAGATCACAGCCCAGCACACCTTATGGGATAGTCCTCTCTCACTCAGGATCTGTACACATTAACATGGACTTGGGGGTACCTCACACCTTATGGGTTAGTCCTTTCTCACTCAGGATCTGTACACATTAACATGGACTTGGGGGTACCTGCACCAGCAGCCCTTTGCTGTTGTCACCACTGCTCCAGCTGCTTCCTCCCTGCATCCTAGTCCTCTTCCTCTGCCTTTCGTCTGCTGGCATCTTTTCAGCAAAATTACCAGAAAGGTGATTTTTGTGGATATAGTTAAGACCATTATCTACAATACGGCCAAACCTTTTTTGCTTCGCCATTCTTGGGAATTGTGGTTACTGGTGAGGATGGTGCATGTTGAGGAGTGGTTGGGAAGGGGGTGCAGAACCCCTGTGCTTTGGGAAGACGGCTGTGATGTTTCTGCTGCACTGAAACAGGAATGTTTGTTTCCTCTGTTGATTACCTTAGGAAGAAGAACCTGGGGGGAAAATGAAGCGCCTTCTCATCACGCTTGTTGGCGTTGTTCACTTTTTATCCCTGGTCTCTGGTGCCCCTCAGAAGACTTTTCAAGAAAGACAAGAAGAAATAGCCAGCTATGGAGATGTTGCTAAAGCCATCATTAATCTTGCTGTTTATGGAAAGGCCCAGAACAGATCCTATGAACGACTGGCACGCTTAGTTGACACTGTTGGGCACAGATTGAGTGGCTCCAAGAGCCTAGAAAATGCCATTCAAATCATGTACCAAAACCTGAAGGAAGATGGGCTGGAGAATGTCCACCTGGAGCCAGTCAAGATACCCCACTGGGAAAGGGGCGAGGAGTCTGCTGTGATGCTGGAGCCTAGGACACACAAGATGGCGATTTTGGGGCTTGGCAGTAGCATTGGGACCCCCCCAGAAGGTACTGACTGTCTTTTCAAGTCAATTTTCTATGTATTTTGTGAAAGAATCTAAGATTGTTTGAACAATTGATTGTAGTAGGCCTGATTCATATTATAACTTTTACGATAAAAAGGAAAACATGATATTTTCTTACTGGATTGTCCTAAAGAGTTGTCTACGCTTAGATTTTCTTCCGACTTCCTTTTCTCTCTTGCTTCTTCCTGTCTTTTCAGAAAGAAGATTGAGTGAGTAACTTTTAAGAAGGACAGATGACAGTTATTGGTCCTTGACACATAATCAGCCCTATTACTTACTAATCTCCATCCAGTAAAACAGTAGTGTCTCTGAAGATAACAAAAATACATGTAAACCTACAAAGCCCATCACCCTGCCATTGTATGGATGCTGACTCATAGCGACCGTACAGGACAGGGAAGAACTGACTATGTGCATTTCCAAGACTGCAACTCTGTGTGGGAGTAGAAAGCCCCATCCACCTTTCTCCTGCAGAGTGACTGGGAAGTAGCATGCAAATAAGTAGGGTGCAAAAGGCAACCCTGGTGGTGCTGTGGGCTAGGCATTGGCCTGCTAACTATAGGTTGGTGGTTTAAACCCACCTGCCACTCCTCGGGATAAAGTCGAGGCTGCTGCTACTTTAGAGATTTATAGCCTCAGAAACCCTAAGGGCCAGTCGCTATACAATGGAATTGGCTGCATGGCAATGGGTTGAGGATGGAAAACCTATGCCCCCTTCCAAGTGGTTTCGATGTGCAGAATCTTTTGAATGAAAGACACAGTGAACAGGACCTTGCACACTGAATTGACTTGAGTTCATTCTTTTATAAAACCCCAAAGCCTCTAATCCAAGGAATTTTAGGCTGGAAACACACTTTTATTTATTAGCACCCTGAGTCAACTTAATCAGACACTACAAGTGCCTACACCTGGAATTTACAACCCGTCCACCGTGAGCTATCAGCGAGTCTTGAAGGTATTTATGCAATAATTTCCTGTGCCAGAGAAAGTAATTTCTACCCTTTGGTTCTTTTCTAAGCCAAGAGGAAAACTCAGGCGAAAGGGGAACAGCTAGCTGATTTTGAAACATCTTTCTAGAGATAACTTTTATATACCACAAAATTCACAACATTTAAAATAAGTAATTCAATAGCTTTTAGCAGACGAAGGGGATTTTCAGCCATTACTCAATACAAACTATTTGCATCACCTCTTAAAGAAGCCCAGTCCCCATTGTCAGTTCCTCCCCATGCCCACTGCCACTGAGCCTGATGCCACCATTAGTCCACGTTGTGTCTGTGGACTTGCTTGTTCAGGATAGCTCAGAGATGTGCAGCCATGCAGGGGTGACCTTTCGTGACTGACTTCTTTTGCTTAACTTAATGTTTCCCAGTTAAGCCATGTGATAACCTGTGTCAGTATGCCATTCTCTTTTATGACCAAATAATATTCCACTATGTGGGGAAGCTTTATTATTTATCCATGTATACATGATGGACAGTTATTCTTTTTAACCTTTCATTTAGTATGAAAAAATGCTGCCGCGAGCACCAATATCCAAGTTTCTTGTGTAGACGTGTGTTTTTAGTTCTCGGCGTATACCAGGCACAAGGTCAGCAGTGGGAACCTATCAGCCATTCCTCGGGAGAAAGAGGGGGCTTTCTGCCCCCACAAAGATGTACAGCCCCGGGAGCCGAGGGGGCAGTTGCGCTTTGTCCTGTCGTAGGCGGGAGTCTGAGTGGGTGTAACGGCAGTGAGTTTGGTTTGGGTTTAGGTAAGCCTAGGAGGGTACGTATTCTTGTCCCTGGTTGTTTTGTTTTTTTATCAGAGCCAGCAGACTGTGTGTGAGCTCTGGTACCGCAATGACAAAGCTCTTGGCGGTGAACTAGAAGATCACCAGGGTCTCCCTGCAGAAAAGCCCTGGGGGTCTGCTCCCACTGTGAGATGGGATTGACCCATGGCACACAGCAATCAGGTGTGTGAAGCCATCTCTCACTGTGGCCTTGATATGCCTTTCTTGAATGATGGATGGTGTCGAATGTTTCCTTCATGTACTCGGAGGCCATTTGTATCCCTTCCTTAGGAAACGGCCTATTCAAACGTTGGGTTTCCTTCTCTCTCTTCTCTGCTGAGTCTTCTAAGGCGGGGGTGCCCTAGTAATGCAGGGCTGAAGTTCATGGCTCCTGCCTGAAAATCTGGTCGTTCGAACCCACAAACATCTCTGAGGGACAAAGATGTGGCAATTTGTTTCCGTTACTATTTACAGTCTTGGAAACCCTATGGGCACTTCTACTCTACCCTGCAAGCTCACGGTGAGCTGGAATTGAAGTAATGGCAGTGCGTTTCGTTTGGGGATTTCTAACTGAAAGGTAGGCATTTCAAACCCACTCAGCAGGACCACAGAAGAAAGGGCTGCTGATTAGCTTCTGTACAGATTACAGCCAAGAAAACCCGGTGGAACAAATCTACATGGGGTCATTAGGTCAGCTCCCACTTCACAGCAGAGAGCAAGTCATGGCTCAAATGTCTTCGATTCTTACCCATCTAGGGAGAGTTAGATCTTCTTGAATGGATACTTCTCCACGTGGTATCCCCTTAGAATGGTGTTGAAAGACCGAAATACCAACCCTACTGCCATCAAGTGGACTCAGATTCCTGGAGACCCTAGGTAGGGTGTTTGAAACTGTCCGTCTCTCCGGGGGCAGGCAGCTTCATCTCTCTCCGGAGGAGCAGCGGATGGGGTTGTGCCTCCTCCCTTGAGATTGGCAGCCCACCGCCCCACCCACACACAGTGCCACCAGGGCTTTCAATAGCGATCACCATTATTCTTCTGCATCTGTGAACTTGTTGCTTGGCTGGGGAGAGGCTCTTCTAAGCACCTCAGGCCTCCGTTCCGAAGACGCACTGGGATGGTCAGGTTTGATTTTGTTCCTCCTTTTGTTCTGGGGGTTCGTGGGGTCTGCTGGGAGTTTTGTTTCACTCCTTTCCGTCAAGCACCGATCTGTGACTGAACCACAGCAAACACCAACACCAAACCTGTGGCTGTCACGTCGAGGTGATGCTGACTCATGGCGACCCCGTGGGACCGGGTGGAACCGCTCCAGGGGAATTGACTGGAACGTTACAGCCATGGTGAGGATGCTGCGTGACTGATGGGACGGCGTTCTCTTCCATTGCACACGGGTCCTTATCAGTCACAACTGCCTTCGGAGCATCTCAACGACCAAGTGGGAAGGCTATCTTTCTCACCCACAGAGGCTGGTGGCTTTGACTGGCTAACCGTTCTGTTAGCACCTACGCCCTTAAGCAGTGTGTCATCAAGGCTTCTGAATCTCAATCTTAGGCACCATCCTATAACTAACAACTCGCTAGACTTCCTAGCTGTCTTAAAACACCCGGGTCCTTTTTCTACAGCTGGAAACGAACACAGATTCCAAGAGGTTAAGTCGTTTGCACAAAGGGCAAGAGGCCAAGTGTGGACCTGATCAAACTGTAAAATTCTAGCCTTTTGCTTTTGAGTTACTAGACTCTACTGCCCTACATACAAATATATATAATTTGTTATGTTTACTTGTGATACTCTTCTTTTTCGCATTTGGCTGAAGCAGATCTTTTTCCCTAGCAGCTGATACCTGTAGTGTAACCGCAGAATAGATTGGTTCCCGCATCTTCCTTTTGGGCATGCTTTCTCAAGCTTTTCCCTCCTTATCCTCATTTCTCATCCCATTGCTGGCCCTGCTGGCCCCTGGCTGTCTGCCTGGTATTGAAAACTAAGCCAACTTACTGATTGCTCCTGGGGCCTCTAAACCCATGGGAAGTGAGTTTGACTCACTGGAATCTATTTTGGTGTTCCAAGACTCACTTTCACCCCATCTCTCATTCCACGGAGCTCAAAGCAGATAAACAGTTGTCTGGCAACTGGACTATTTTAAGCGTTGAGGAGACTGGAGAGTTGGGCTGGACCAGGTGGAGGAATATTCCCACGGGAAAGAGTGTGGAGTCAGCATAAAATGATCTCTAGATGCAGGTAGAGCGGTGCAGTGTTCCATCTCCGAGCCTCTGTTCTGGGAGTACAGGCTCGCCCTTGGCTTGGCCGCTGACTGGTTGTATGACCTGTCCTTGGTCTCCTCATTCGTCTCTCTGGGCCTGAACGTTGCCACTAGTAAAATGAGACAGGACCAGCTTCTGAACCTGGCTGGTCTCTTCCAGATCAGGGAATCTGTGGGTTGGGTGAGCAGCCACAATTTATCCATGCTCTTCCAGGCATACGCTGTGGAGCAGATTCCTTATATAACCAACCACAGGTTCTTGTTATTGTGATGAGTATGTTCTTAACTTTCTAATTCTAGACTTGAGTATGATAGTAGGTGATAGCAGGAGTTGGCGGTATGGAACTGGAAGAAGGCAAATGTATGGACAAGCTGAGTAAGTTGAGATGCTGCATAAAGCTTTGTCTTCTTAGAGACAAGGAAGAAGGAAATGTATCCTTCACTCAATCCTGGACTAATATAGCAGACATGAGATTTGAGTGGAACTAGTGTAAGGACAAGCGAGACAGCAGGAAATCCAGGAAAGGCTGATGTATGGGCAAGATCGTGAGCAGCATGTTGAAGCTCTTCCCCAGCAGAGACAACTTTGGGGATCTCTGTGGTCTGATCTCTGAATCCAATACAGTAGTTTGGGACAAATTAACCCTCTATGAAGACAAACATATCCTGAGAGGTGTTGGGCTTTCCCAAACTATTATGTTTTGCACGCATGTTTCCTACTAGCTTGGGACATCTCGAAGGACTAGATTGAATCTTGTCTCTCTCCCCTCTGTACCTATGAATGCACTTTTAGTCCATAGTGGTTATACACTCAGCATTTCCTTTTTTTTTTTTGGCAAAGACATTGTAGTACCACACATTTTTTAAAAATCATTTTATTGGGGGCTTGTCCAACTCTTATCAAAATCCATACATTCATCCATTGTGTCAAGCACTTTTGTACATTTCTTTCCCT